CATGTGTGACAATGATATCTCCTGCTCCCTGAACCACTCTTTCACATTCTGAGCCCGGTGAATCCTGACATTGTCATTTTGTAATATGTCCAATGTGTCATCAGGGAAGAAACAAATCCATGGATGGAAATACCTGGTCATCTCTCCTCCTCCACTGCAGTGGTCTAAGGTCCCGTAAATCATTACATCTATGCACAATTTATAGACATGAGGATGCTGAGGAACATTCCAGCAATTGCAGCGGAGAAGGAGAGAGGCTGGAGGGAGTGCTATGACAGCTGGCTGGCTTGGAGCTTCGGGTGAGTATAACATTGTTTTTTTTTTAACCTTGACAAAAACAAGCACTTGACCCTTGCAGTGCAGTGATAGCCCCACTGCAATGGTTAAGGAAACATTTTCCTGGAGTTTTTCTTTGAACACTGCTGCCTTTGTTGATCTCCATTACATGGTGGTTCATGAGATAAGTAGTTTACACAACAAAGAAAAAAAAAGGTTTCTTCTTCCACTTCAGCTCAAAGAAAGTGACAAGGACACATAATTTCTGGCAAGATCAACAGGTATTTCCTGTACTTGCTGAAAATATCCTGAACACTAATGCAGCCCACACATCTAAGGATGGAAAGCTGCAATATATTACATTGTTGTTCTTTTTTCATACAATTTTAGACAGCTGTCCAGGACACCGTTGGCCATCCTTTCTCAACTGTGGCACCGTGGTGTGCCTTCTGGCTTCCTCAGAGTGCCTTGAAGTTTTTTACACAAGACCATGGTGTCTCTGATATGAGGAAGACTCCTGATGTGAAAGAGGGGCACTCTGATGTAAAGGGGGGCTTCTGATGTGAATGGGGGGTGGGGGGCTGTAATGTTAAGGAGACTCTGATGTGAAGGGGGGAATCCCACTTTTTTGTGTGCTTTTGCTTGGGGGTCCCACATCCATACCAGACCTGTATCTCGTATAAGGGTTTGGTAGGGATTTTAGAGGAACCACATGTCGTTTTTTTTTACATTTACAGTTTTTACATTTTAGACTGGGGTGCCTCAAGAATCTGCATACTTTTAAAGGGTGCCGTGACCTGAAAAAAAGGTTGAGGAACTCTGCTGCAGTAGACCATGTTGTGTCTGATGTGCTGTAGCTGTACTATAGACTTCTACTTTTTTAAATCAATACACATTGTCCACTGGATGTCCGTGGTGGTTTAGGGTGGCAGGGATGTGCTGAAATAATAATTATTACAGGTATTTATATAGCACCGGCAATTTATGCAGCACTTTACATTATGCACATTCTCATCAGTCCCTACCGTAAAGGAGCTTACAATTTAAGGCCCCTATCTCATCTGCACATAGGGCCAATTTAGACAAGAGCCTATTAACTTTCCAGCATGTCTATGGAGGGTGGGAGGAAACCAGCAACCCCTGAGGAAACCCACACAAGCACAGAGAGAATGTGCAAACGATTTGCAGGTATGCAGGTAGTGTCCTGACTGAGATTTGAACCGGGGACCCCTCAATGCTACAAGGCAGAAGTGCTAATCACTACGCCACTGCAAGTGCTCACGGTCTGTATATACCGGTTCTTTTTTTTACAACAGATTCCCTTTAAATAATCCTGACAACATTCCCATTCATCTTACAAGACACTAACTCATGAAAAGTCATAGATATTACTCGCATTTATTCCATGTTCGCTTATAGCAAATCTTGTTTCCCATTTGCATTTCCTATGAATACCTTTTTCAGAGCCTCAGCGATGAACAAGTGATGAATTATGACAGCTGCATTCCGCCAATGTATCAATCATCGCTTCCACTGGACTCCACAAATATTATTCATGTGAAATGAGCATAGCTTAAGGGGAGCTGCGTTCATAGGACAGTTTACCCTCCAACCATTGCCCGTGAACTCACAGCTTCTTCATTAAAATTATTTATTTGCATGATGAAATACGATCGGTTTACTTTGCAGTGATCTGCCGTGATTTGCTTATCGCTTCTCTAGTAGTAAATAATACAAGCGGAGCACTTCCATTAAACTACATCCTCTATTACCTAGGTAACAAATTCTATTTTCTGATATTAGACATTTGCCATGCTCAGCGTTAAAGGAGCATCACCGCTTTTCAATATTTATTATTTGTTATTGATCATGGGGCTGATTTACTTAAGGAACAGAGGCTGTTCACATAGCACAGGGAGTGACCGTAAATAGGGTGAGCCCTCAAAAACCCAGTCATGTGCTAGCAAAATATCCTGCTTTCTTAACATTTTGCTCGCATGTGATTGTGTATACAAAGTGAATCCGGATTCACCTTATTTATCAAAGGTCACTTTGCAAATGAACACACACTTTGCTCTGTGAACAGCCTCTACTCCTTTAGAAAATTAACCCCACTGACATTTAAAAAAAATAGATGTACATAAGTTATTTTAATTTCTGTACATTGATTGGCCCAGCATTGCCCATACGTGTACTTTGTGTACTCCATAATTCAATTGCTCCACCTACTTTTGTACCAATCCAACAAAGAATTTTTTTTATGTCATCCGTGAAGTGAGACTGTGTTCCTGAAGAAAAAAAAAAGAAACACTGGGTTGGATTAGTGACCAGAGAACTGGTCTGGGTTCGGGTTGGCTTAGATATTCACTGAAACTGGATTTCTGCCTGGGTTCTGCAAATGTGTATCCAAAGCTAAGGCTGTCTGCTTCCTAGCATCTGATGACACTGTGTGGCCCGCACATTATCATTGATTGCTAGAACTTTAGTGGCTGGGATGCACGTCGTCATTGGTTGCTAGGACACAGATAGGCACAGCCTAACCACCAATGATGCCATGAGGCCACTTAGCAACTGTGTGCCCCACAAAGCATCATTGGTTACTAAGACCCTGGCAGCCCCACAGCATATTAACTTGTTGTGGTGTGCATCCTAGCAACTGATCATGCTGTGCGGCTCAGACACTAATAATCTAATGATGCTGTGCAGGCTACTCAGTATCATTGGTTGCTAAGACACAGACAGAGGTTCGATGGATGGGTGAACTGGTCAAATCCCCTTTCGGCAAACACACATCGATACAAACCTGAAGATCATCCCTATTTTGGACAGACGGTGGCAGCTAAGGCTACATTTCCTATATGTCTGAGTGTGTATGTATGACTCACACAATGTAAGTGTGTCCTTAATTCATCTGTAACCGCAACTTGACCCTCTGCAGCAGTTTCTAAGAAAAAAAACAATGCACATAAACCTGTGATTTGATCTTGCAAGGCACCATGTGCATAGAAAAATTAAGCTTTATGCTATCTCCAAGGTGGCACTAACACACGGATAAGTGCTCTCTCCTTACCCCTATGTGACAGTGCTGGATGCCTAAACAGCCAATGCTAAATTACTAGAGCTACTCCATGGAGGAAGGGAAATTGAGCCACACCTCGTAGTCCCAGGTACTGTTTTCTGCTCCCGGGTGCAGGACAGAGTGGCAGAGAAGTGAGCAAAATGTAATTATAAGGTGCTGGTTGGGCCCATTGATTTGCTCTGTGTTAAACAAAGCAAATGTTCACTTTAAATGAGAATTACAGCAGAATTAAAGCCCCAAAACCTCCGCTCCAGCAATACAACTTCTACAAGCTCCCTCTTCTCCTTGGCTTCTTCCAGATGTGAGGTCTTCAGCTGTCTTGATTGGCAGGCTCGGGATGACATAACTCCTGTGCATGCACATGGGAGTCAATCCATCCCACCACCCGGCAGATGCCAAAATTGCCCCATACAGTGAAAAGAAGAGGGGAAAGGTAAAACATGACATTTATTTCCAGTGAGCTGCTAAAACTTAAATATTTATTCATTAGTCATTAAAGCGGACCTTTCCCCACCAATACCCCACCAGTGTTCATGGAAACTCTTTAGTGAAACAGGTAGCCTTACTTATAGTAGCAAGCTTCCATTTTTAATTCTTCTTCACACTGCCACTGGTCGGTCCTGCCCATGCTCTGCTTCCAGTGCTGCCATTTTGAAAAAACAAATCAAAACCGGCTTCTTCTTTCTTCTTCTCTGCACCGGCCCACCAATGACCTCTGTACACTATCTCACACATTAAGTATGAGATCTGGCACAGTTTGTGAGTATGAGTAAAATAATAAAAGTCATAGAGGGAAATTTATCAAAACTGGAGCAGACAAAATCTGGAGCAGCTGTGCACAGCAACCAATCAGCTTCTCTCTTTCATTTTCAAATCTTAACTGACCAGTTTTGATAAATTTCCCTCATAGTATTTTGTTAATCCAGTCATACCTCAAAGCTTTTCCCCAAGATTCTAAAAACTGGTGAGATTTAGGAATTTGCAAATGAGGAAGGCACTGGTGACATAGCCTTTACAGGGGGCACCTGTAGGGTCCTGGCCCTGGTGACATAGCATTTACAAGGGGCACATGTAGGGTCCTGGCACTAGTGACAAAGCCTTTACAGGGGGCACCTGTAGGGTCCTGGCACTGGTGACATAGCCTTCGCAGGGGGCACCTGTAGGGTCCTGGCTACGGCACCAGACCCTGTTAATACCCAAAATTGGAAAACAAAGCTGTAAGTACACAAATAAAGCTTTACATTAACATTGACTTAAGGGCGATTATAGATCTGAATGCAGAGCCAAATGCACATGGGTGCTTAAGGTTTGGGGGGGTTCTTTACATCTTTTTGTTATTCACTTATAGTGAGCCGTTAAATATATCCCCCGAAGAAATTAAAGTACAAATAGCACTGACACTTTGAATGTTGGATTTGAAAAGTTGACGCCAACTTATAAAAACTTAACAGGCAGCCCCAGTATTTCTAACAGACTCTTATCTGTTGTCCTAAAGAAATTGCTCTGCGGTTTTGCAAAGTGATATTAAATATGCCGTTTGCATATTATTTTATCTGATTGCATTGCTTAATGATATGCGGTTAACACAAGAATCTAAGCGTTTAATCAAGTCTCCTGATGTTGCTTTTCCCTTTTCTCCCTGCAGTGCCCTGATTCAGCATGCAAACAAGATCTCCTCGCCTACCTGCAGCGCATTGCCCTCTATTGCCACCAGCTCAATATCTGCAGCAAAGTGAAAGCAGAGGTGCAGAATTTAGGAGGAGAGCTCATTGTTTCAGGGGTGAGTAATGGAGAAGTATATTTCACATTAATACATGAATACAGCAGACTGATTGTATCTTTAGTATATATAATATACTCATATTTAATATATTAAGTATATATATATATATATTGCTGTCAATCAGAGAAGAGGGTCTTTGATGTGGCTTTAAGGGAAATATTGAAAATACACCAATCTTTTAAATAACACACTTGAGAGATGCCTTAAAGCTGTACGTGGTGTTGCACAATAGTAACATTTTTACGGACAGTCTTAGGCTGGGCACACACCTTACAACCATTGCAAGACTTTTGTCTTGCGATGGTTGTAAGGTAATTAAAAAAACGTACGATCTGCCTATCTTGGACAGGCAGATCGTACTTGCGATGATCGCAAGCCTGCCCCGCTGAGGGGCGGGCTTCCGATGACCGCAATCCCGAACGGGCAGTGTGCACTTGCGCACACCGGCCCGTCCGGCTTTTATCTTACGAACATGCTACACACCCGCCAAAAATCGTACGATGCTCGGCGGGTTTTCGAACATGTTCCTAAGATAAAAGTCGTGCGACCTTACTGTAGCAGAGGTTGCACGCCTTCCACACACCTTGCGATAATCGTACGATCGCGGGATTTCCCACGATTATCGTAGGATAATCACGGGAAATCCCGCAATCGTATGATTATCGTAAGGTGTGTAAGGTCGCACGACTTTTGTCTTATGAACATGTTAGAAAAACCGCCGAGAATCGTACGATGTTCGGCAGGTGTGTAGCATGTTCGTAAGATAAAAGGCGGACGGGCCGTTGTGTGCAAGCGCACACTTCCCGTTCGGCATTGCGGTCATCGGAAGCCCGCCCCTCAGCGGGGCAGGCTTGCCATCATCGCAAGTACGATCTGCCTGTCCAAGATAGGCAGATCGTACATTTTTTTAATTACCTTACAACCATCGTAAGACAATAGTCCCAGCGCTGTCACAGCAGGCTGAGCTTTGCTCGGCAACAGCGTACCATTGGCAGGCTTATTTGGCTGTGGATATTTTTTATTTTACAATTAGCTTGGCTTTCATACAGCAGCAGCACCCCAATCTGATTAATTTCAATTTTTCAGGTAGCTTTAAAGGTGAAACATGCTTTTTCATCAAATGGTAATAGAGTGGCTTTACTCAGCAGATAGAAACTGACCAGGAGTTCCCTGTGTTCCCTGTGGCTGTTTCTGTTCTTGCTGATGCAAAATTATCCTGCCACTGGGCAATTTCTATCAAGTTCTCATTAAGAATTACGAGATGACAGATGATACAACCGTGTAAAATTGGGCAGCAGCAGTACATTTTTATTAAGGGGTTATAGGCCGAAATGTACTACAGAAAAATAATTCAGGTAGGTGTTTTTCTATAGGAATTAAGAGACCACAGATAACACAGCAGTGTAACATTTGCCAGAAGCAGAACAATTAAAATAGCAAGACTAGAGTCACGTTTACTAAAAAGCATAGGCTGAGGCTTTACTACAACAATTAAGATACTGCAGAGAGTACAGCAGTGTAATATTGGCCAGTAGCTGGACAGTTTTAAACAGGTACTGTATAATAGGGCCAAATGTACTAGGGATGAAGAATATAGGCTGGTGTTTTACTACAAGAGTCAGTGGAAAATATCTGTTTAGACTGGTAGTCAGTGGAGGAATGTTCCCTTACGTTAGTGGTCATTCAAGAAATATCTCCTTATGTTGGTGGTTAGTGCAGAAATGACCTCTTAAGCTGGCGCTCAGTGGGGAAATACTTTCCTTATAATGGTGGTTAATGGGGATGTGTCCTTTTACACTGATGGTAAGCAAAAAACAGAAAGACCATTAGTGGCCAGTGGAGAGAGGTTCCTTATATGCATCGCCAGTGGGAGGAAGAAAGTAGAGATGCATTGATATATCGGCCGCCGAAACATATGGGCCAAAAATTCCACTTTGGCATAATGCCGAAAGTGCCATTTTCTGGCCGATACAGCGGTGAATCTGCTCTTTCTCTTCTCCCCCCTGGGCGCTGCTCTGTGTCCCAGTGGGGAGGAGAGAAACCCTCACAGGCGGCCAAGCACTGAGGGAGGAGAGCGCTGTCAACAGCCGGTGTCTCTCCTCCCCGCACCGCTCAGTGTCCTGTCACAGATTGGCAGAGCGGTGTGTGGGCGGAGACAGCCAGCGCTGTCACAGCAGGCTGAGCTTTGCTCGCTCAGCCTCCTGTGACAGCGTGTCAGGATGGGGAGCGAGGTACAAACACTCGGGTCTATTCACGAAGCAGCCGAAGGATCTAGCCATAGCTTTGGCCGATCCTTCGGCTAGCTTCGGCCCCAGGACCCCTTCGGTTCAGTAGAACTGACGGGCTGCTGTACGGGCTATTCACAATAGCCGGTACAGCTCCCGAACATAGTCGAGCCGAAGGCATATGCCTCGGCTGAGCTGCACTGAAAGCCGTAGGTGGCCGGCCGACAGCCTGCTTCTGACAGCTGGGCGGAACCAGCCGTGATCTTACGGCTGGCTCCGGCCACTTGCAGAGAGATCAGCGTCCCTGGTTACCAGCTAACCAGGGACACTGATCTCCAGACAGCAAACTCTCCCGGGCGCTCTGGGAGTCTCCTGCTCCCGGCCACCCAGGAGAGAAACACTGCTTTTT